ACCTGGGCCTGCCGCAGGAAAGAAGCTGGGCGGTGCTCGGTTCCTCCAAAGGTGAGCCAGCAGGTGGGCCAGTCGTCAGTGTGGCCAAGGCAGGCTGGAGCCCTGTGGAAGGAAGATGGACAGGATGGAGACCCACACCGGACCCTCTGCAGGGGCTCCTGGAGGCTGAGCAGGCACCCAGGGGAGGGGGGGACAGCCCTCCTCTCAGGACCAGGTCCCTAGGAGGACTGGAGAGGGCGCCTGGGCTGGGGAGGCACTGCCTGATTCAGGAGCTGGGGGCGGGGGGTCACATAGGGCTTTGCTCCCAGCCTTGGATGACTCATCCTGAGACACCCCAGGAGGCAGGCAGACTTGCAGGCACAGACACAGGGACAGCACACAGGGGTCCGTGCATCCAGAGAGTATACATGTTCAGAGGCGTGGATTCATGCACAATGCGGGATCTGGCCTTGGGTGTCCACATGCCCCAAGATGCCCTGCACCCACCCATTCCTGGGCTCCAAGCAGACATGTGCCCTGAGCCACCAACCTCACTCTCCCTGCAGAGCCAGCTGCTGATGACTCACCGGGCCCACTTGCCTGCCATTGGTGTTCACAGGACCATTCTGTCCTCCCCCAGCAGCCAGGGGCTTGGAGGGGACCCCCAATCTCATGGGGTGCCTGAAGGCATCCCGGTCAGGTGCCCCACACCTCACTCCTCAGACCAGGTGCTCCTTGCAGCCCCAGTGGCAGGTGGGAGCGGTCAGTCTTCCCAGCAGCCCAAGGGCAGGAGGGGACTGCAGGTTCAGTAAATCACCCTGGCAGGTGTCTGTCCCCCACACCCATCCTCTTGTGGGCAGCCCACTGCCTGCCAGCCCACCCAAACTTATGCCTGGGGTTGACCAGAGGCCACAGAGCAGAGGGAGTCCTGGCTCCTCCCCCCAGGTGACCTGATACCTGTCCTCCCCAGAACCTCAGAGAGGAGAGGACACACCTGGGAGCCCTCAGCAGTCCCCATGCCCAGGGAGAAAGCATCCACGGGAAGGTTTCAGGCCCAGAAAGTAGGGCAGCAGGGAGGGGGTGGGGGCACGCATGTCATCCACTTTCCCTGATAAGCCCCCAAAGCCCACAGCAACATTCCAGGAGCTAAAAACCATGCACCATATGGTGCCATTGTGCCCCCTATACCCCAAGACCTGGGCGTCAGGCGGACGGGGCCTCCTGGCAGGGCCTAAAGGGCAGATCTACCAGCAGCCCCTCAAGCCTCCTTGGGCCCCCCAAAATGTGGAAGTCCCATGGCCAACACCAAGTGGAGGCTGGATGAGACCCACTGCGCAGTGGTGCTCCAGCCCTCACCCCCCTGCTCCCCCCTCCCCCCGAGGCAGCCCCTGGATCCTCCATGAATGACCTCTGGCCCTTCTGACCTCCATAGCCCTCCTCCAAGAGTGCAGAGCTCCTACTCCCATCTAGGGCAGCCCAGACATGGCCGTGCAGCTGGGCCAGGATGCAGGGGCCAGATGGGACACCAGCTGGGTCCATGGTTCACCCAGGCCCAGCCTCCTCCTCCAGGAAGCCTCCTTCCCCATCCTCTGCATGCAGGGTCTGATGTGCCGCATCCCAGGGAATGGAACCTGTGGCAGGCAGCAGGGACAACCCGAGGAAGAGCCCCAAGACCAACACACCGGCAGTCCTGGGCTGGGCCTGCTCGACTCTCCAGGGCTCTGGGATGGGCAGTGGTTGGAGGACCCCAGAACGGCATAAGCCATGAGAAGGCCGTGGGTACCTACCTGGCCGGATCCAGGTCACACTCAAAGAGGAACTACCCCAAAAGCGGACACAAAGGTGGGAGGTTGCCAGGGGCTGGGAGGCAGCAGGGGCTTGGCCTGGGGGCACACACCCCAGCAGGGACAGATCCTGGGCAGAGCAGAGCCAGCCGCCTCCCGGGGGGGCCCCCAGGCCCAGCAGGCTCTGAGGCGGCTTTGAGGAGCCAGGGAGGCCCCGCCAACACAAACAGTCCTGTGGTGTCGGCCTTCCGGCTGCTGATCCAGCCCCTGCAGGCCCCAGGCCCCACAGTCCCCAGGCCCACCCGGCCCACCCTGGGGGAGGGGTACCCCCTACACACACAGAGCCTGGGCAAGGCCAACCCCCACCTCAGGGTCCTCCCCTACATCCCTGCTCCTCCTGCAGCCCCCCCACCCCCCAGGGGGGCATTTCTGTCCTGGAGGTGGTGGTGGAGAGAAACCATCAGGACCCTCTCTCAGGTACCCAGTGTGTGCCCACCCACCTCCAGGCCAGTGTGGTTCCCCCAGAGCCCTACCACATGGGGCCCAGGCCACAGGGCTGCCTGGCAGTGTTGTTCCCAAATGCCCTGAGCCCGGGCTCGTCCAAGGGGTCACTAGGTCAGGGCCACCGCAGCCTCAAGCACGCTTGCAGACACCGTCACTCAAGACTCCTCAATCCCCAGGGCCAAGGGCTAGTGCAGGCTCAGCAGGCAAGGGACCCTGTGTGACCCAGGGGAGGCATCCGAGCATGGCCGTGCAGGGACCCCCCACCCTCGCCCCGTGAGTGCACATCTGCCCAGAGCAAGAGGAGCAGGGGCCAGGCCTGCATTACCAGGACTGGGTCCCTCCCGCTGGGCAGCTATAGGTTCTACCCACACTCTACAGACGGAGAAATGATGCCAGGACTGGTGGGCAGGGTCGGCTGATTCCCTGTACACCGGGCCAGGCTCTTGGCTGGAGCGTCTCAGCAGCAGAAGCTTCCACTGCTGTCCTCCGCCCCTGCCTGCCCTGCAGTGACCCTTTTCTGGCAGGAAGCGTGGCTCACGGGTTCCCAACCACATGTGGCACAGCCCTCCCTCCCTCCCTATGCCCGCCCCCAACAAGATACCCTATGCTCCAAACGCTGGCAGTCTCCCTCCCCAGAGGCCTGGGCCACATCTGTGCTGACACTGCACCAGAGAGGAGAAGTGAGGGCCCCCCTTCCCCTGCAGGCCCCCGAGGCTCCCCTCCCCACCCCTCCTCCCCACCAGTGCCTGGGGCCCTAAGGGCTCCCTCCCGCCCAACCCAACTCCCCCCACAACACACACAGAGGGACAAGGCCACCCAGGGCTGAGGCAGCTGGCAGGGCTGACCTCTGAGGCTCCCCAGTGTCCTGCAGGGTTGAGGAAGGCAGGGTAGAGACAGAGAAGAGGACCCAAGGCCCCACAGGGTGTCCCTGCACACCTGTGCTGAGGGGTGCAGCCGGGATGCTCCCCACCGTCTGTCCTTGGAAATCAGGGAGCTGGAGGGAGGAGCCCAGGAAGAGGCCACCACCCCCCCAAATCTACACACAACTCACAGAATTCCAGGAATGTCAACTTGGCTCAGGCCTGGATCAAGGCGGGAGGCTCATTCCCCTCACTCTTTCAGAGTAAACAACTACTCCCAGCAGGAGCATGGGTGGGGCAGGCCCTGGGCCCCTCCTCCAGGAAGCCTTCCACCCCAGCGGCTCCCCAAGTTCCACCCAGCTGACAGCCTGGGTCCCCTCCGCTGTGTCCCTCACCTGCACAGTTGCCAATAGCCTCTGCAGGGAGCCTGGGTCTGACCCCAGGCCACCGTGACTCCAGGCCCCCTCTCCTGTCCCTCTGTCCAGGCACAGGATGTGCGTCCAGTGGGTGGGGTGGGGGGGCAGCTGGGAAGGGAAGTGGCCTCTCTCGTGGCTCTGCACGTGGCAGCGTGGAGGATGACAAATGCACTGGGCAGGCTGTCCAGGGCCCAGGCAGAGGTGGCCAGCGCCTCCCAGGCCCCAGGGGACCCTCAGGCTCCCTCGCTGAAGCTGAGGCCAGAATCCACCACCCACCGTGGGAGGGTGGGGAGTACAGGCCCCACACATGCCCAGCCCACCTAACTAGCTGACACCCGCCCTACACCCCCCCCCACCCCCTGCAGGCGCTGCTCTGGAACACATCCATCCCCCACAGCCCCAAAGTCTGCCTCCTCCAGGGAGCCCTCCCTGCCTCCCCCCCCGACAGATCTGCACCCCCCCCCCGTGGCCCCCGGATCGAGGAGTTCACCTCACCCCGCCCCCAGGGTCACAGCCTCGTCGTCCCTTCCACCCTCTGTGGCTGCTGCCCCACCATCTCTGACTCCACCACCTACTCCAGTCCTGGCACGAACCCGCGGCCTAGAGCTGCCCGCAGGTATGGCCTCCAGGCTCCTATCCAAGGGGTCCCCCGGCCAGGATCAATGCACTCCCTGACACAAGCGGGCTCTGCAGGGCGCCTCTTCCACGCCGCCCTCCCGGACCACCCGCTCCAGCCTCCGCCCTGCTCTGAGTCCTCAGAGCCCCGACCGCCCGCACCCCCAGGCCCTTCCTCCGAGGGCCGCAGAGGGCGGCTGGGGCGCTGGGGGGCAGGAGCTGCGGCCGAGCCGGCCGTCGGGGCTACAGTGCGGCCGAGCGGGCCGGGCCGGGGCGGGGACAGCCGTCGCCGGGCCGGGCCCGGAGGGGCGGCGGGAAGGTCCCTCCGGGGCCCCCCGCGCCCGCCCCCCGCCGCGGGTCCCCGCGACCCCGGCCCCGGCCCGGCCCCGCCACTTGTTGCTGCGGCTCGGCTCGGGGCTCCAACTCTGCGCCCGCTCGGCTCGGCCCCGGCCCGGGTCCGGGTCCCGGTCCGGGGTTCCGAGGGGCGGGACCTCGGCCGCATCCCCGCGGACCGGCTCTGTACCTGCGCGCGGTCCGCCCGCCGCGCAGCTGTCAGTCATGCGGACACGAGGAAGGCGAAGCGCCGCCGTCGGGCCCTTTCGGTCCCGCTAGGCCGCCGTAGGCCGGGACGTACCAAGGCGGCGGGCCGGGGGGGGGGCGCCTGCTCCGGTCGCGGCCGCGTGGGCCCCGGAGCCCCCGGTCCGCGCGGAAGGAACTCGGCCCGGCAGGGAACGGACGGCGGCGGCAGTGGGGACGGCGGGGCGGGCCGGGGGCGGCCGGGGGCGTGGCGGGACTGGGACTTCTCCCCCCCGCGCCATGGACGCGCCCTCGGCGGGGCCTGCTCCCGGGCGGAAGCGCCGCCCCATCTGCCAGTCCCCGCGCCGCCGCCGTCGCCGCCGGCGCCATGATCATCCCGGTCCGCTGCTTCACCTGCGGCAAGATCGTCGGCAACAAGTGGGAAGCCTACCTGGGGCTGCTGCAGGCCGAGTACACCGAGGGGTGAGGCTCCGGGCCGGGCGGCGTGCGGAGCCGGGGCCGCGGGGGGCGGGGGGGCCCTGCTGGGCGCGGGGCCGGCGCGTCGGGCCGGGGCGCGGGGGGCGGGGGCGGGGCGCGGGGCGCGGGGGGCGCAGGCTCCGGGCTCCAGGTGCCGGCCGCGAGCAAGGGGGCAGGCGGGCAGCGGGACTGCGGCAGCGCGGGGACTTGCACACGGCCCCCGGCAGGTCGTGGCTCCTGCCCAGCGCAGTTCGGTGCTCCCTGCCCTCCCGCCCTCGGAGGTCCCGGGGCCGCTCTCCCGTCGCTGCGCGTCAGCCCGGCCGTCAGCACCGGCCTCGTGGGCATCTCTGCACACTTAACCCTGGCCTGCGGCGTTTGGGATGAGCGGGGAGGCCAGGTTCCTGTGAGTCCGTCGGAAAGACCCGAGTGTGAGGGAACCGGCCAGAGGCCCTGGAAGCCCCGGGCAGGGGCCGCCCAGCCCTGCGGCTTCCCAGCTCGGCGGCGCCGCACGTCGGAGCAGTGCTCTGGGGATTTTCTGGAAGCCCTTGGGGCAACAGGGGCTGGGCCCCAGGGACACTGACAACTCTAATCGGCTTGGGAAACGGGAGAGAGACGGCTCCCTCCGCGGCGGGCGGGCGGGGAGGTGGGGCTTGCTCCAGCAGGGCTCGGGTCCTCCGCGTGCCCAGGACTGCCTGCCCCAACCGGGTGTGATCTGCCCCTCACCCACAGAGATGCCCTGGATGCGCTGGGCCTGAAGCGCTACTGCTGCCGCCGCATGCTGCTGGCACACGTGGACCTGATCGAGAAGCTGCTCAACTACGCGCCTCTGGAGAAGTGACAAGTGACCTGCTCACGCCCGTCACCCGGTCACCCGCTGTGCTCACCAGGGGCCGTCTGCGCCGTGCCCCCAGGCACTCCAGTGTGGTGGGGGTGGCATGGAGCATGCCTGTCCACCACCTGTGGATGTGTGTCCCTGCTCTGGAAAGAACTGTCCATTAAAGGTCTTTGCAGAACCATGAAGAGGTCCTAACAGTTGGCCTGGCTTTGCGGGACTCCCTGGTGTTTCCGTGTCCTGCCTCATGCTTGAAGCTGCTTGGGGATAGACGTGGCTCTCACCATTCAGGGCCCAGAGGTGGCGGGGGGTGGTGGAGGGCATCTCACAGCCCAGTGACAGTACACAGACAGCCAAGAGCACTCAGGTTGAGGGTCAGGAGACATTGGCCTGCCCACCACCAGGTTCTGGTTGACCTTTAGGACGAGCACGGAGATCCTCACATCTCTTCCCAGGATCTCAACAACCAGATATTTGAGCCCTGAGTGGAATGCCTGCTGCAGTCTCAGCTGCCCATCCTGAGATCTTGCTGCCAGAAGCTTCTAGGCTCCAGCCAAGTTCCTGTGGAGGGGCAGGGGTGGTGCCCAGCCTCCATAGCCAGCACTGAGACCCGCACAGTGGGTTGAGGGTGGCCCTGAGGAGGCTCTGCTGGGTGTCAGGGTTTGCCAAGCTCCCGGTGGCCTGGGTATTAGCACTTAATCCTGCGGGCCTGCCCAAGAGCTATCTGTCCTATTCCAGGTCCACTGAGGCTTACAACTGGCAGCTGTCGCCCTGGACGGGAGTCTACCAGGCCCTAGTGCCCTTAAGCAGGCAGAAGGCAGGAATGTGTGGTTAGAAGAGAGGAGGGGACTCTGACACCTTCTTCAGGGCCAGCCCTGCTGCCCAGGCATCTGACATGCGGTCCTCTGAGGGCCGATGAACAAACCTATCACGGCAGGGGGAGGAAGGGTCTGCCAGGGGTACATGCCCTGCAGAGCTCAGGCCTCTCCCCATCCCTAACGGCTACGCATGCCAGAAGGACGTTTGGAAACAAGCAGGTCCAGGCCATTTGAGGCCTCCATGGCCTCTGGGAGGCTCTCCCCCCCTGCCACCATTTTTCTGTCCCAGAACGGGCATGGTTCTGTTTCACAGCCTGTGCTCAGCGGTCCCTGCTACTGGCTGCCTCTTGCTGGAGTCCCATCAGTCTCCAGAATGTACCCTCCCGGCCCCAGCCCCTGTCCCGGCACTGGGTGGGTGGTTCTGTCCACCCTGGTGGTGGGGGGAAGGCCCTGAGGACCAGGACCCTGACAGTCACTAACACAATAAGCTCAATCCATTCCACAAACGTTTATTGAGCGCCTATTGTGTGGCACGAGCAGTTCTAGGCATTTGTGATAACAGCAGTGAATAAAACCCACAAACCCCCTGCTTCTGGGAAGGAGAGAGGACTGTGGACAAGTAAATGTGTGGCCTTTGGGGAGAGAGGTGGGGAAATCCAAGCAGAGGCTCGGGCAGCAGAGACTTGAGGACAGAGGCCAGGAACCCCAGGGCAGGACCGGGCTTACTTGGCTTTCCCAGGGATCTGTGGACACCTGGGACTCCACATACAGGTGTCCTGTACTCCCCTCACCTACCCCACCTAGCCAAGTCCCCCTTAGACTGCACGGGACCATCTCGGGGTCTAGGAGCATCCTAGAGTGGGCCCGCCCCTCCAGCTGAGCGCAGGCATCAGGAACCCCAAGGTCCCATGACCCCACTCACAGGCAGAAGTACTGCTCCTTCCCCACCCTGGGGGGGCAAGCCTCAGGCCTTTGGTCTGCAGAGAAAGGCACTTGTAGCTCCCTCTGAGGGTGGGGATCCCCAGAGGTCATGGTGATGGTTTGGGGTGTGCACATGGGCTTAAGAACGCACCCTCCCTGGCAGAGTGGGGAGGGGGGAAGGAGCAGCATCCTGGAACCCCAGCTCCTGGCCCTCAGTAGTGTCAGCTCAGTAGTCAGGTGGCGAGGCTGCGGCATACACAGTGGTACACCTATGCTCAGTAGTGTTCCAGCTTCAGGCTCTTGTACAGGCAGCATGTGAAGATCATGCCAAAGACCTGTGGCACAGGGCCAGCATGAGTGTGGCACAGTGCCAGCCACATGGTGTGCCCCAGCACCCACCAGGGCCTGTCCCACCCCACCCCCGAACCTGCACACAGGCGATGCCAATGCCCACAGCACCGATGACCCTCAGGTGCTCCTGGATGAAGGTCTCCAGCTTGGTGATGCAGCCACCCTGGCAGAGTAGGGGTCAGGGCACTGAAGGGAGGCGATTCTAGCCACCCCCCCAACTGCTGCAGCCCGACCCCCCTCCAGGTGTGACCACACCAACCCCCAGCATCCTGGGCCCCTGGCTCCTCGGCCCTTCCCAGGCACCCCAGGCACCCACCAGCCTACCTCCACCTTGTAGATGTTGGAGGCGTGGTCCCGCTGCCCACAACCAGGCACCACAGTCTTGCAGCAGCTGTCGGGAACCACACGGCTGCCCGCCTGGCCCGAGCGGATCCACTCACTGTCCCGCCAGTCTTGTGAGTTGTTGCTGCCACAGCAGTGGAACTGCGGTAGGAACACGGCCCAGACTAAGTCCCCGTCCCACCCACCCCCATGGTAGGGTTCATACAGAGGTCCAGGGGTGCCCAAGGGGATGTGTATGCACCCCATGGCACCACCCACTCACCTCCTGTTGCAGCTTATCCACAGCACTGGTCACACCCTCATGGCCTGGCTGGTGGTACCGCTTGGTCATGGTGTCCTTCAGGTTGTCCTTGAGCTCAGCGTTCAGCTGGGGGTGAGGTGGTCACAACTTCAGCTGTACAGCCTAAGATCCCTCAAGGTAGGTGGGGCAGGTAGAAGCAGGTGCCGACGATGGGGGGAGAGGTTCGGGAAGGCTGCTGGCCTGGGAGGGGGTGGGCTGGGCTGGGAGAATCACCAGGTGGCCATGGAGAGGGCTGGGGACAGGGAGAGAGATCCAGATCCCAGGGACACCCTCCTCCCCTCCTGAGCCCCTAGCTGGGCAGTTTGGGCACTGACAGGCAGGCTGTGCCTCCCTGCTGTCGGCCCTACCCACTGGGACACAGCCCCCACCCCCAGGGCCTCCTGGCACAGTGGTCAGTTCTGGAGCATGGGGGATCATGTCTGTGTGTCTGCACATGTCTGTCCCTCCATGGTCCTGTCTGTCCAGGCTCCTCACCTGCTGGTAGTAGATGTAGGCCAGAATGCCAGCAATGATCTCCAGCAGAAAGATGATGAGGAGCAGGATGAAGTACTGGGGGTGAGCAGGGACCCAGTTAGGTGGGACTGGACACATGGAGTCCTATCCCATGAGGACTCCCAGTGTCCAGCACCGCAGAGCAGAGCCCCCAGCCTCCGATCCCAAGTGGCCACAGAGGGCTCCGGGCAGCAGGTGGGTGCTGGCGGTCCCTTATGCTTTCCCTCAGAGCTGGTGTCTTCCCTCAGCTGGCCCAGCTGGGATGTGGGGACTCAGGGCTGGACAAGTGCCCCCCACCCAGCACAGGTGAGCACAGCACAGGCTATTCTGCAGTGTCACACCTGACCCCCAACATTCCTTTCCTTCTCAGAGCCAGCCCGGACAGCCTAGTAGGGAGCCCCCACTAACCAGGCGCAGCAGGTTCCGCCGCTCCTTGAAGGTGGCACAGCAGCCCAGAACGCCAGTCACCATGACGACAACGCCAGCCACCACCAGGATGTAGGCTGTGGCCAGGTAGGTGCCCGAGGCCAGCAAGCTGATATAGTCACTCTTGAGGGCCAGCGTCCAGATGCCCACTGCCATGACGGCCAGACCAGCCAGCTGTGGGCAGTGCGCACTGGTCAGCACATCCGGCGCAGGTCTAAGGGATGGGGCTGAGCCCCCAGGCCAAGGCTCCCTTCAGGGACCAGGGATGGGAGGGAGGAGACACCTGCCCGTGGTAGTCAGGGGGAGGGAGTCCTCACCCAGAAGCAGCAGTTGAAGGTGAAGAGCAGGTACTTGAGGCAGACGGTGCCACATGTCGTCTTCTCATTGAACTCCCCCATCCTGGGGCCAAGAGGCAAGGGGAGGTCAGATAGCCCACACCACCAGGACTTGACCAGGAGGCCAGCCAGACACCAGTGGGGATGGTAGGGAGGGGGACACCGATGCCCAGGCAAGCCCCGGGTTGAAGCCCAGCCAACCAGCTGCCCCGAATGAAGGTCCTGGGAACGTGTTCACAAGAAGCAGGATGTCTCCTGGGAGAGCACTTCGAGGGCCCCCACCCCCAGTGCAGCCAGGGCCAGTGTCTGGCGCCCACAGCCAAGCTGAAGGCCAGGCCCTAGAAGGCCGAAGGGCCTGGCTTCTCTGCTCAGTGCCCAGCGCACAAAGGAGACATGGAGGACCCCAAGCATCACCGCTGACTCACCTCTGCTGGCAGCCAGGGTAGGAAGACCCGGCAGGTCCCTCAGGGTGAGCTCATGCAGGCCCCGCCCATCCCCCCCACACACACACAACATTCCCGGAGCTGCACGTCACAGTCTGGCAGGCTAGCAGGCACCCACTGGAGGCTGGAGGATTGGAGGCCACTCAGACACAGGCTGATCGGCCCCTTACTAGCCACATAGCCTCAGGGAAGCCCCTTGGGTTTCTGTTAAAGGGAAGGCCTTCCTTTCTCCGAGCCAGGGTGGGAAGAAGAGACGGTGCTGGACAGGCAGAGCCAGCAGAAACACATGCCCCAGACCTCTGCTGGTTCTCACTACTGGAAAGGGGGGCCACACCAACCCCAGTAAGATGCGAAGGGACACCTTGCCTGGTCCGCTGGGCAGAGTCTGGACTGGGGAGGGTGGGAGAGGGCCCGACGGCACAGATGGCAGGTGGACGCCCCCCCTCCCACGTTTCCAGACAGACAGCACCACCCAGAGCTGAACTTTCACCACCCCACCCAGCACTTACCTGGCTGCTGGTGGAGACTGGCTCCTCTCTAAGACAGGTGGACCGAAGTTCCCTAAGAGCCTCCACTAGAAAGGCAGGGACAGGTCACAGGTCTGGCCGGCGCTGGACAGGCAGGATCCTATCACCCCTCCTTGTGGCCACCTCTGGCAGTGGATCCCGACCAGCTGGGCTTCCGGAGTAGGCAGCGTCCACTCCCAGGGCAGGGAGGGGCGAGGCCAGGCCCGGTATTTTAGTCTGGGCTTGGGCGGGGCAGGGCAGAAAACATTTCTGGATAGTGTGATCCTGGAAGGGGAGGGACCACTCGCCTTCTCCAAGCACCCCGCTCTGGGCCTTCCTGCAGACCGGCCACTGCCCCTTACCCCACCCAACAGCAGTACCTGCCAGCCAGGCAGGAAAAAAGACGCAGACCGCTGCCGCGGAGCTGGGGTACGGCAGCCCCTGGGCCCGAGGCCCCAGCCCCCACGGCCCGCGCGCATAAACCGGCAGAGGAGGGGCCCCGGTTTCCGGTAGTGCCTGGCGGATGTGAGCCCCTTGGGACGCGCCGGCCAGAGATAGTTCCTGCGGCCGTGACAGAGCTGCCCCAGCCAGACCCTGCGACTCAGCCGGGGGTCTCGGCCGCCCGCGCCCGGAGGACTGGACCCTGCGCTCCGCGCAGCCAGGCCCGGGGAGGCATCCGCGCGTTACCGCGTGGAGCCGCCGCCCCCGCCCGGGCGAGCGACGGAGGAAGGAAGGGCACCGGTGTCCGGAGACAATGACCACGGTGCTCCGATGGGGCCGAAGGGGCCGCCAGCCCAGCGCAAAAACCCCGGGGGCGCCTCGCCCCCGCTCCGGGTGCCCCTCTGCCCACCCGGGAGCCCCTCTGCGCACCCGGCTCCCCGGCGGCCGGCTCCCTCCCGAAGGGGCCCGCGCAGCGGCTGCGGCCAGGCCCTCCCGGGCCTCCCGGGCCTCCCTCCAGACGCCTGCAGCCGGGCCCCGGAGTCCGGGACGCACAGACCCTCCCGGCCCGTCTGGCCCGGCGGTGCACTCACCCGCCACGCGTCGGAGTCGGCGGGGCGGGCGGGGAGGGGCGATGGGGGCGGTGGCTCGGGGTGCAGAGACTGCGCGGCCGCGGGAGCCTGCGAGAGCTACGCGCCCCGCCCGCGCCCCGGGCCCCAGGCCCCGCCCACGGCCCCAGGTCCAAGGCCCCGCCCACGGCCCCAGGTCCCAGGCCCCGCCCACGGCGGCGGGCGCGGGGCAGGTCCGGACAGTGCGCCGGCGGCGCCGGCGGCGGCGGCGGCGGCGGGGGTCCGCCCGGGACTGCGGAGGCGGGCGTGCTGCAGCCCGCGGGCGCCACGGCCCCGCCAGGGCCTCATACCCTCGGGAGACAGAGGAGCTGAGTGGGGGGGCGGTGGAGACGGCGGCGGCCCGCCCGGCCGGGGCTCTGGACTGTGTCCGAGACCGCGCCCTCCTCCAGGCCCAGTTCCCGGTTCTCTCCTCCAAACGCAGGGACCGCCTGAGGCTGCAGGGTCGGCCGGACAGATGCTGGCCTCTGTGGGGGAGGTCTGGAGTTGCGATCGGATGCAGGAGCGGGGTCTCTGGGCGCAGTATACAGGATGGCCTGGGTCCCTGCCAGAGACAGTCTGGTCTGGGAGGTCTGGGTCCTGGGAGGGCTGGCAAGGGCTGAGGGAGACGGGGCGGAGCCTGCTGACCTGCCAGACTGCAAAACGGACAGTGGGATTAAGGAGACAGAGGGGACCCCCAGCCCACCAGGCTCATTCCCAGACCCAGGGAGGGACGTCAGAATCTGCAGGCATTTGGAATAGCTCTGCGCAAACAGTGGGCAACACTCGTCCTCAGCTCTTTGCCCAGGGTTGGTGGTTCTGGCCAGCAGCTCCCAGCTTCCCAGAGAGGGTGGAGGAAGGAACAGAGAGGTGGCTGGAGACCTACCCCTTGGAGGTCCCGCTCAGGACTGGCTCACCTCTAGTGGGCTGAGGTGGTCCACCCAGGGCCAGGTATGTGTGAGGACCGGTTTGGGGAGGAGGCTGGGAGCGGGTTCCTTAGTGAGACAATGGGCCTCAGTCCCCCTGTTCCTACAGAGGGCCCTATGGGACTTCAGGTTTAATGGACAGTGAGGTCTTGAAGGCATGACCAGAGACATACAGGGACATCCACAGCCCCAGGTCCACAGAGCCAGGGACCCGTGCCACACAGGTACCATCCACTTGGTTGAGTGTACCATGGATACCCCATTTGTGTAGCACACGCATGCAGTGGCTTTTTACACATAGGCCAAGGAGGTCACAGTGCAGTCAATGGGCTTTATTAGGAGGAAGGAGTTTTTCTGCTGGTCAGAGATCGGTTTGATGGAATGGGGACAGGATGGGGACCAGCAGGGAGGAACATGAAACGGGCCACTCCTCAGTTCCTTCATGTCTACATGCAGGCAGGCCAGGCAGTCCACGGAATAGAGCCCACATCCTGGATGAGCAGCCCCTAGCCACGATGCACCACCTTCAAGGGGCAGCTTCTCCAAGTAATGCCCAGTGAGTCACTCAGGGATGGTCAGCGGGCACTGGGAAGATGGCCAGAGCCACGTCTTGGAGGGCGAGCCCAGCTGCAGCAGCAGCAACAGCAGCAGGTGGGCCCTGGCGAGCGGGCCACTGCCAGGGCTTTCCTTCGGCCACTGCCCAGCCGCTTGGCCTCACAGGCATCCCTCTGGTCTCGCAGCCTTGTGTTCAGCTCCCTGGGGAAGGGGAGTCCAAGGTTCAAAGAGGTCTCAAGAGGCAGCATTCCAGGGTGGGGAATGTGGGCTCTGCTCTCCCTCACACCAGAAGAGAGGTGTCCCACTGGGGCTGCAGCAGGAGGGATGGAGGACAGACACAAGGAAGGACTTCCTCCAAGTGGGATGAGGCAGTGGTCAGGAATGTGGGGAGCTGGGAGCTCCCGAGTTGAGCCGAGCCCCTTCCCTCGTGGGGCCTGAGCCAGACCGCACCTGAGGAGCTCCAGCTGTCGCAGGAGGCTGAGCTTCTCTTTCTGCATGTTCCTTGAGACTGCGACCACCTCTCTGCAGGAGGGAGGTGGTGACCGGGATGCAGGAAGGCTCCTGGGGCGTCCCACGACCCTAGCCCACAAAGACCCTGAAGGCGGGGCTGGGACAGGGGCTGGGGATGGAAGTGGCCTGGACCTGAGCCCCAAAACCGATCCCCGCCGGCCTTGCCCTCCCAGGGCCCGCCCCAGAGGGACGGCCTCCTCCCCCAACCCGAGGCACCGTAGGGTTTGCTCCTGGCGGCCCTGCAGGTCGCCCTCCAGTCTGCGGAGCTGCTCCTGCGCTCCCTCCAACTGAGTTCTCAGCGCCTCGTGGGCTAGCCACAGCTGGGCGTTCTGCGCCTGCGCCTCCAGCTGCTCGCTGGCCCGGGCCTGCAGCTGCTGTTCCAGCTGCGGAGATGGAGGGGCAAGGGGGATCGAAGCTGGGGAGAACCCCTCACCTCTCCTTCGGGGCACTGTGTTGCCCCTGACTCCCAAGGGTTGAAGCACTGGGGACACTGAGGCACAGGGAAACCGCAGGTTCACCCAGGAGTACGTGGGTGACGGTGGGGACCGGCCAGGGGCGGGGGGCGGGGGGTGGGGGGCTGGCAGCTGGCGGCCACTCACCTCCCGCTGTCGCAGGCCCGCACGCTCCAGCTCCTGGTCGCGGTTCTGCAGCTCCAGCTCCAGGAGGCCTCTGCGCTCCTCCCGGGGGAGGTCCTGGGGTTCGCGGGGAGCTCCTGAGCCTCAGCGGAGGTGGGGGGCCGGGGCCGGGTGGAGCCGATCGGGGAGGGCGGGGTCAGGGAGACGCGCGCCTGGGATTGGGTCGGGCGGGGGCCAGGGGCGGGCGAGGGGGGGGGCTTCGGGCCCACCTGAGTCCGCAGGCGCTGGCGCTGCTCCCGAAGTTGCTGCTCCATCTCCTCGTATAGACACCGCACCTCCCTCTCGTGCTCGCTCTCCCGCCTTCGGGGACCGGGTGCAGGACAGCTGCTCTGAGCCTGCCGGCACTATAGACCCCAGCCCCGCCTCCACCGCCTCCCGGAGTCCTGCTCCGGGGCGCCAGGCCTCGCCCCGGCCCCAGCCCTCACCGTCGCAGCGCCTGCTCCAGGCTGTCCCGCTCTCGGGCCGCCTCCTCCAGGCAGGCCGACGCGCGCATCAGAACATCCTCGAAGGAGCCCAGCAGCTCCGGTCGCTCGCGCTGCAGCCGGGTCCAGAGCGTCCGCACCGCTCGCTGTCTGCAAGGGGAGTGCAGGAGCTGAAATTGAGGCGGGGCCTCCCCGACCTCATCCCTAAGGGTAAGCCCTCCGGGGCACCTGCAGCGGATAGGCCAGCTGCGTTTGTACATGCAGGGGATCCCTCTAGTGGGTGCTCTTGCCCCTGCCTGGGCTCAGCGTGTCCGGGACTTGGCGGGGCAGCCAGCTGTCTCCTGTGCACACAGGGCTGTGCCGGGCGCCTGCCCTTCTGCCCACAGCCTTGCCGGCTGCCCCCTGAAATGCAAATTCTGCGGGAAATCACGCTCAGCCCCTCCCAGGTGTCACAGCTGACAGAGCGACTGGGCCAGTCCCCGCGTGAGGACCCTGAGCAAGAACAGACGTCGGGCACCCTGGACAGGCAGCATGAACAGGGGGGCATAGAGGAGGGAACTGGGAGCCGCGCTGGCACCAACTCACTCGCCCAGGACGGGGGCCACCCCCAGCTGCTCCAGCGCCTGGCCGACTCTCTCCTCCTCCTCTTCCTCCTCCTCCAGGGAGCCCCCCGTGCCATGCACATCTGACCAGCCTGACTCAAAGGTTTCCTCTGGAGCCTGGGAGGGCAGTGCGCCCTGGGCTGACTCCACCCCCACAAACTTCCCTGTGGACACGAAGGTGAAATTACCAAGGCTGTGGGGGAGCACCCTGGCTTGGCCACCCACCCCACCCCCATGCACGCGCACTCACCCACACACACAAACACATCCTGTCCGTATCCCAAGCCCAGTTTCCTGTTTTTCTTCCTTATTCTGGTCTGATTCTTGGCCCAGGAACGGGAGGTAACACCCGGGCCAGGATGGAGCAAGCCTAGCTCCCAGCCCCACCTGGGTTTGGCACCTTAGGGAGGGGATCATTGAGCAGGAGGGCCAGCTCCACACACAGCATCTGTGGGGGGCTCCCTCCGGTGCCTGTATGTGTTGACACCAGTACATGCTCCGCAGGGAGGCCACGGAGAGGCACAGACTGCCGTCCGTGTTGGGTGCGGGCACCAGGGTGCCACATGTGCCAGTGGAGAGTCTCTGCGCAACAGGGGGTAGGGAGGTGTCTCGGGGCTTAGCTCACCAAGACCAAGGCAGAACTCCCAAGCGGTGAGGAAGCCCATGTGGGCCTGATCCAGGCTTTCAAACACAGCCTCTAGCTGTTCTGGCGTGAGGGGCAGGTCGCTCTGCAGGCCCTAGCCAGGCAAGGATGGCACAGCTGAGGAGCCAAGGTCAGCCCCTGACTGGGGCAGCTCTTGGGAGTGGGGATTCACCTGCAGGTCATGCCGAGTGATGAAGCCCTTGGCGTCCTTGTCACACAGCAGAAACAGTTCCTGGGCCTGCTGCAGCATCTCTGCCCTTGGCCTCACAGAGCCCGCCTCCTCCACCTCCTCCTCCTCCTCCTGGGCCTCCCCAGTACCCGGCTTCCTGGGCCTGGCCAGAGGAGGGGGGTTCCCTGCCATCATGTGCTGTGAAGCCAAGGCAGAGTCGGGGCCTGAGCAGAGCTCAAGAGACATGAGTGGGAGAAGGAGGGAAAGTGGAGGGCCCTGGAAGAGGACTGGGCTGGGTGGCAGCCTGTGGGGAGTAAGGAGAGAAGGGCCTCCTCCCACCAGGTGCGAAGGTGGGACATGGCATGGCAGAGGTCCAGAGAGGAGCAGAGCTGGGGGTGGATTCTCCCTTGGGGGTACTGCTGCAGGAAGGGGTGTCGTGGGTGAGAGTGATGCAGGCTCCAAGCCTGTGGGGGCTGCCCAGGGAGCTAGAGGCTGCAGCTCAGGGGAAGCCAGTGCAGGACAGGAGCTGGGGAGGGCCACCTGGGGAGGGGGCAGCAGGAGAAGAAGAAGGCAGCTGGTGGTGCCTGGTGATGGAAAATAAGGAGGTGGGGTCTCCTGGCAGCCTTGGGGGAGAGAGGTGGGGTGAGGGTCTGGACAGCGGGAGAAGGAGCTGAGCAGGTCCTGAGGTTGGGCACTGGACACCTGGCTGACCGCTGGGCCAGGGGGAGCGTGCGGCCAATCCTGGCTGAGTCGTTAGCCCCTGAGTCCCGGCCTCAGAGGTCCTGGCCTCCAGCGGTCAGGGGACGACGCAAGCTCCTCCCCTCCTGCCGCAGCCCCTCCCACCGGGCCCCAGGGGTGCAGACGCGGGGTCTCCACCTGGGACACCGATGGGACACGAAGCCTTCCAAGGCCCTGGTCAGGAACGCGCCGGACCGACGCTGACGGCCCTTCCCCCAGCCCTGGGCGCTGGGGCACCGCCAGACTCACCCCCTCCGGTTCGCGGAACCTTCCCGGGGCCTCCCTCCCCGCGGGCGCCCCGCCCCCTCATCAGAGCCACCTGTCGTTCCCACCACGCCCAGCTCCCGGATTTCCCAAGTTTACCCCCAGCACGGGGACACCTCCCCCAACCTGGGGGGCCCCGGGTCCTCTCCTCCCAGCCCAGGACCTCGATTTTCTCTCCCCGCCCGTGAGATCTTCCCGGGGCGCGACCTCCCGAGAGGGCAAGTCTGAGGCCGGGCGGGCCGAGGGCGCGAGGGACTCCGGTCGCACCCCGTCCCCGGTGCCCCCGGCCCCCCGCCCCCCGCCCCCCGCGGCTCGTGGGCTCCCGGGACCAGAGGCCATCCCCGCAGGAAGCTGTGCGCGCGGGCCGGGCGAGGGGTGGGGAGCGGGGAAGGGGGGCCGCCGCCCGCCGCCGCTCGGCTCCCGGGGCCCCAGGGTGGGCGCGCCCCGGGGTCGCCGGGGAGGCGGCGCGGTGGGGACCCCGAGGCGCCTACCTGCCGCCGCCCCGCCGCACCTGCCGCGCGGTCCGCGGCTCCCCCGGAAGGCGGCGGCGCGCGGGGGTCCCGGGCCCGGAGCAGCTCCCGCGGCCCTGCAGGAACTGGGACCCCGGGCTGGGCCGGCCGGGCGGAGCCGCCGCCGCCACCGCCGCCGTGTCTCCGCCTCCCGGCGCTGCCCCGGCCGCCCGGCCCTCGCCCCACACCCCGCGGCGCCCCCGGTCTGTCCCGACTGGGCCGCGTTCCCCGCCGGGCGCAGACGCCCCCCGGCGGCCCGGGGACCCCTCCCAGGCGGCGCGGCGGCAGGAGGGCGGGGCTGTCCCCGCGGATCCGGAGTTAAGGCGCCAAAGTGTGTGCAGGACTAAGCCCGGCGGGAGACCGACCAAAATACCCCCATGCTCATCTCGGGTGCGGGGACTTCACGCCCTATGCTTTCCCGACTTCTGTCTTTCTTGCGGTTAAACGATTAGCTCGTAATATATTACAAAATGGCACTTAAATCAGCGGCAGGATGCCTGTACCAGTGCGGGAGGGCAGGAGTGGGCGTGGGGGTCAAGGAGGCCTTCCCCTCAGCAGCCCGACCCTCAGCTCTGCTTCTGGGACGCAGCCCTGTCTTGGGTTCTCCTTCCCGGAGCGCTGGGCGAAGGAGCTGGGTGGGGCCCGCACGGGACCTTCCTGCTGGGGGACAAAACCCATTCTCCTGCCAGCAGTCCCCCCACCCCCTGCCCCCAGCCCAGCCTGCACCCACCTGGAGGGTGGTGGGGGTCCAGAAGCCTCTGCTTCTCCAGGGGCCTGGGATCCTGCTGAACTCGAACAGGTTGGGCCTATAGGACAGGACCTTGAGAGGGAGAGGGGGCCGGCTCCTGGCACAGGCACCCAGGGACCTGCCCAGCCGGCTCTCCCAGTCCTGCGGTCCCACCGTTATTGTTGGCAGGGGGCTGCCACCACTGCCACAGCTACCTGACCCCTTGGCAAGGACTGAGAGCTCTGGACGGCCAGCCAGCCACCCGGCTCTGCCCCAGAGCCCTTCACCCATGGGCCCTCACGGTCACCACGAAGGGCTGGCTGCATCCCCTCAGACTGGCCAGGACAGAGGACACTTTCAGGAAACTGTGCCCATGGAACAAGGTCCAGCCTCCTCTGGGTCAGACCTCACCCTGCCTGACATTCTAGACCCTTCCTACATATTGGTAGGAGACTGGCTACCCTGTGTGGTGGGGAGGGGGACAGGGGATTGGGAAGGTGTGTTCGCTGGCCAGAGGGGTTGGCCCAGGGCCTCGCCCAGAGCCCTGCACCACATGCCCAAAGTGGAGCAGGCCCCGTGTGTCCCAGGTGTCCTGGAGTTCAGGTATACTCAGCTTGGGAACCCCACCCTCCACGGCCATTCAACCCTGAGATCAGCCCCACACCAGCTGTGTCACCATGGAGTGGAGATGCAAACGCCACCTTTTGTAAACATTTCTTGGTTTTTATTTAGCAAGGATCTTGGTCCCAATATTTTCACTGGTCCTTGGAAAGTTAGGCCCAAGGGTCAGTCCGCAGACCTCAGGACAAAGCACAGCAAACATATGGGTCCTGGCTAGAGAGGTGGGCAAACCCCTGGAGGCCCACGAGTGCCTTTAGGGGAAGGCCTCAGGGCTGGCTGGCAGGCCCTGAATGTCAGACTCAAGGAGAAGCTGACCTGAAGTACAGACGTCGGCCAGGGAGGCACACACGAGTGAAGGAGGCAGGGGCTGAGCTGTGGCATTTATTACATCTGCTTTGGCAAAAATAAATAATTCTTCACATATGTTCCTCAGCAAAACATGACAAACGAGGAGGGAGGAGCAGGTGCAAAGTTCTCAGAAGTAATACTGCTTGGACTAGGGGGCACCAGGTGCTGGGGGCCCCGCCCTCTGCCCCAACTCTGGGGCGGAGCCTGGGGGGAGATGAAGGCACAGGTGAGGGCAGGGGTCTTGGGTACCCTCCCTACAGGGGCAGCGAGGGAGTGGTTGGTGGAAGGGTTGACCACAAGTCCCCTTCTAGCAGCTGTGAGGGGCCCCATCTTCTGACTCCTGCAGGGGTGAGAGAGAGGCCCGGGAGGGGATCTCAGCCCATCCCAGGGCCCCACCTCACAGGGCAGGGAAGCTGGGGGGCCCAGCCCTCAGCACTGGGACCCCAGGGGGGCTGGGACAGGTGGTGCAAGGGTGCTCAGCACGGGGGCGAGGAGGGTGGGAGCTGTGGGGGCCTAGGGGCAGGACCAGCGCCAGCAGGCATGCGCAGGGCATCAGGTGGGAAGGCCACGTTGGTGCAAAAAAGGCCCAGCAGCAGCTGGCGCTGGCATTCCTCCCACTTGGCCAGAGCGTCCCCTAGTGAGAGGTTTTTGCGCATCCAGCTGGGCAGCGCCTCGCTGTAGGCAGCACAGGACAGTGGCACGGAGGGCAGGGACTGGGTGCGGCGGAGCTCCATCTGCTCAGACAGCCTGCGGTGGGGAGGGATGGAGGCGGGAGGGCTTTAGCAGAGGCCACTGAGGCTTCAGGCCCTGGGTAGACGCAACAGTGACAGGGGCTCACCTGGAGGGCAGGTGGCTTCCCAGCTTCCTCTTGGCACGCATCACCAGGTACTGGCAGATGCTACCCGTCTGCTCCTTCATCCACCGGATGTCCTCGGGGACGTCAGGCAGCCACTCCAGCAAGCTGGGCCGGGCGGGGAGGCATGGCCGAGGGTCTATGGCTCGGCCCTCATGCCATGCCCCATCTAGCCCCGCCTGTGCCCCAGCTTCTGGAACCCCTGATGTGGCATCTCTGCAGCCCCCCCACCTGTAGCCTTTTCTCCAGGTGATTCCCACTCATAGATAACCCCAAAGTCTGGTCCCCCTGCTCCCTGCCCCAACCCCCCCAGTCCACTCACCGGATGGTAAAGGACACAGCACTCTCCAGAGGCAGAGTGTAGGGCACCATCATGGCAGTGGCCAGACGCACGGGTAACATGTTGGAGAAGGTGCTCAGCAGATCCTTGGGCTCTATGCAGGCCTCCAGCAGGGCTGGGGGAGACGCAGGAGGGAAGCTGACAGCCGCTGGGGAGGCTGGGACCTCTCTGGCCTCAGCGCCCCCCAGCAGCCGGGAGCTCCCATGCACCCCCACTCCCACGTCCACACACCTTCATTGAGCCGCGCGGGCAGATGTTCCAGGATATGATCCTCCAGGGCTGGCTGCGAGTGGCTGTCCACTAGGGCCCTCTCTGTGGCCTCCTGGTTGTCCTCCACATCCTCGTCCTTGGGGTCATGGGGGTGTGCAGGGGGCAGCGCCAGCAGGGGGTTGGGTCGGTTCAGGAGGCCTGGGTGGGGACCCCCGACAGGTGATCAGCACTGTGGCAGGGACAGCAGTGCAGAGCCGTGGTTCCCACCCGCCCACAGCTGCTCGGGGCAGCACCCACGCACCGTTCCGCCTCAGGAAACGCAGGCCATCCCGATAGCCCTGCTTGCACATCTCCCGCAGCACCTGAGGCAGGGACGATAAATTAGAGCAGGGCGCCACATGTCCCCTGCTCTGCCCCCTTGAGTCCCTGGCGTCCCCACAACCCCTCTGCTCCACTAAGCTCACGTGGACCCAGCTGGACAGGCCCGCAGGCCACAGCACTCTGTCCCAGCCCTGAGAAGGGGCTGTCCAGACCCCACCCCAGCCTGGTCCCTCCAAGAAGGCCATCTGACAGCTTACCCACCCCTCAACCCCCAGCACTCAGCGAGGAGCGGCCCTGCAGGCCGGCCCCCCAGCGCAGGGCTGGCCGGGCAGACCCACCGTGGGCTCGGGCGGGAACAGAGCCTTGGACAAGCGGTAGAGATTGCGTAGGTTGAACTGGATGCTGGTGTTGGTCACCCGGAGCTCATGGATGTTGGTGGAGCTGTCCTGCGGGCAGATGTCACTCTCTCCCGAAAAGGGGGACACAGTGATGGTGTTCTTGAGCTCATACAGGGGCAGGTTGTCTGAGATGCCGCCGTCAACATAGCGCTGCAGCCGGGACACACAGTCACACAGGGAGATGCCTGAAGACCCACTGGACTACCTTGGGCCCTACCCAGTGGCTACTTCCCTTGGGCCTTTCACCCAGTGGGCACTGGGCACTGGCCACGGGCCTGGCTGACTATTGAGCAGATGGCTAGGCCTAGGGGGGTGGGGTGGAGACAGCCACGGGAAGTATGTGTCTCTGGGGACCTGCCGAGCTGTTGAGCAACTCGAGGGAAGTGAGGCAACAGGCAGTGGAGCAGTGAGGGGCTGGGGGGCACCAACGGCCTTCTTCCCCACTGCCCAGGAAATGTGCCAGGGGATACTTACTACGCCCTGGAGGGAGGGCGGGATGAGGCCACAGTACACGGGGATGAATGTGCTGCACACATTGGCCTGTGGGGCGGGGACACGGAAGGAGTGGTGAGCAGGAGCCCAGGTTGGTCGTGCATCCCCGGTGCTGCCCCAGCAGGGCTCACCTGGATGAGCTCGTCCTTGGAGTGGAAGTGGGATATGATGACATTCTCGCCATCAGAGACACGGGTCAGGGAGATGCCCAGGCGCCCGCTGGCACGCTCATGGCTGTCAGCGGGCAGGGTCTTGAGAAGACAACTCCGGATGGTCTTCACCAGGTTGAAGGAGGGGTGCAGAGGACCCAGGAACCGCTTCCGCGCTTCCTTGGACACTGCGATGATGTTGGCACCTGCCTCGCCTGGGTCAGAAGGGCCAAGGGTCAAGGGCCGGCACTCCTGGCTTAGCACACGCCCCACGGCTCCACTCCCGGGGGCCCACAGAACGTGGACATGTGGCATCTCCACCCACCCTGGAGAACTCCCAGGGCCGGCCTGGAACCTGGCCCACAACTGGGACTTTTGCTACCTGTCCCTGGAGAGACAGAGTCAGGCTACTGCCCCAGGAGAGCTGACAGCTGTAGCCAAGGCCTGCCCACTGCCCAGTATTTCCCAACTGCTTGGTCTGATCCATGAGTCATTGGGCCCGGCCTGGCGTGGCCCCCAGCCTGGGAAAGCAGAGGTTCAACCTTGACCAGCCTCAGCCTTCACCCACTTGGCCAGATCCAGATCCAGGGAGTCCAGCACAGGCCTGTGGGTATGAGGCTGGAAAGAGTGGGGTCCCACCATCTCTAAGAAACCATGACTGTGACCCACTGCAGCCAAGAACAAGCACCTGCCATGGTGCTTCTTGGGGGCCCAGGGGTGTTGGCCTCACCAAAGGCAGAGCAGGGGCCCAGGAGCGGTCACAGAGTTGGGGGGCCTTGGGGAAAGCTGCACATCACATTATCCTGCTCAGAAGTGGGGCCAGAACCTGCCATGCTCTGGGGACTGCAGCTACCCAAGCCCACTCATGAGAAAGAGGCTTCCTGGGGGTGGGAGGAGATGGTGCTCTGGGACCCATGTCCTCCACTACACACCAGGGAGCCAGGTGTGTCCTGAGACTGGCACACAAATCTGAGAGACAGTGGCCTGAAAGCTTCCAAGACAGGGAGGGCAGGGCCACAGAGGTGAACCCCTAGGTCCCCAGGATGGAGAGCTCTGCTCCTTCATACCACCCTCCTCAGGGCAAAGGTCATGGGCAGGGGGCAGCGGAGAACACTGGACAGGCTCCCGCTGGGCAGGGCATTTGAGAACCTGATGACCCTTCTGTCACCTTGGCTACCCTGGTAGGTTGGGGGCTGGGCACCATGCCCAGAACTCCTGAAGTACTCCGTGTGCTGTAAACAGCACTTGCAGGCGCCTGCCGGAAGTGTGTGTGAGTGGAGAAGCCCATCCCAGCACACGCAGACACGACAGCCCTGCTGTCTGCAGCCCTGCTGTTGCACGACGGCCCATGGGGCTGGAAAGTCCTGAAGCACCTCCCACCCCAGGGAGTGTGGGCAGAAAACTTTGGCCAGCCCTGGGGACCCAGGCCCACAGTGGGTGCTGTGCAAGGAAGGAGCGGGGAGGGGAGGGCCTGCCCTGCCCTGCCCGGGCCTGACCCGCAGGGCTCCCCTCCCAGATGCCCCCGGAGGCACATGCCACAGTACCCAAATCCTCTTAAGAGGCCGCCCTCGTACCGGGCCCCGGGGACAGCGCAGCCTGGAACAGCACAGCCCCAGGACACGGTGACCGCTGGCACCCAGGCCGCCGCCGACTACGGGGGCGCTGAGGCCCCTCCCCCGGCTCTCGCGGTCCCGCCCACGAGTTACTTTCTCTTCGCGAAGAAATCTCTCGGCTGCACCTGCCAGCGCCTCCAGCCTCTGCGCTCCGAGCGCGGCCCCCAAGGCGCGCGCGGCCGCACCCCAATCCCCGGGCGCCCCGGAGCCAAACAAGCCAGGCCCCGCCCCCGGCCGGCTCCCGGCTCGGATCTCCGTCCGCTGACCCCTCCCCGCCGCCCCGCCGCCCGGTCCACACTGCGGCGGCGCATCCGCTCACCCAGGCAGGCTCCGGTCACCAGCGCCGTGGCCGTGAGCGCCCCGGCCGAGGCCCCGTAGATGTGCGCGGCGTTGGCCACCAGGAAGGGCGCGTGCTCGCGGAGGCAGGAGGCCACGCCGATGTGGTAGACGCCGAGGAAGCCGCAGCCCGCGAACGAGATGTTCCACGTCGCCTCCCGGGGGAACATCGCCGCGGCCCCCGGCTCCGGGGCTGCCGCGCACCGCGCGCTCCGCTCGCTCCGGGCCGGCCCGGCCCCGCCGCCGCTGCAGCTCGGGGTCCCCGCCGGCCGAGGCGGAGACGCTGCGGGGCCGGCGGGCGCGGCGGGCTTTGAGCGGGGGCGGGGGGCGGGCGGGGGCGGGGCCGGCTCGCGCCGCCCAATCGGAGCGCGTGGGGAACGGCCGCGCCCTCCGCCGCCCCGAGCCCCGCCCCCGCCCCGACGCCGGCCCCGGGGGGAGGGGCGACCCCAGGCCCGGGGCGCGCGGAACCCGCGGGGAGGCTGGCGAGGGGAGCGCCCCGGGGTCTTCCCGCCCCCTCCTCGGGGTCCGCCTACAACACCCACTCGGGACCCTGAGGAGCTCGCCCCACGGCAGGGACCCCGCCCCCCCCCGCGTGACTCATCCACAGACTGACCCATAAACGTCTGGGATGCAAACAGTACGCAGCTTCCAGAGCTGACACTAGCGCTGTAGACCCCGAGCTGACCTCAGCCCCAGCTGCCCGCGGCCTCAGCCCCCCCCACCCCCAGCTGGCGACGAACCTGGATTGTCCTAGCGTCCGACCTCGGCTCCTCAGGGTGTGGGGTCTACCGGGCTGTGACTCGGGCCCTGCCCCGCCCCCGCTAATTGCCCCAGCAGGTGGAGCATCCCAGTGATGTCACCCTCCCGCCCCTTTTCCGCATTTTTCTCCTTTCTATGTTGTTGGGCAGCATAGCCTGGTTTGCCCCCAGGAGCCAGCTCTGAGCCTCACCCCACCTCCCCAGCAAGGGGCTGGTTGTTGCTGGGGTGGTGGGATGCCTCTGTCTCCCCAGGAACACCCACTCCCTAGGCAGGAGCTTGGCTCAAGGCCCGGATGCTGCCAGAGCTGTGGATTTGGGATTGCCCCCGACGATGCAGGCCCAGGCTCAGGCTGAGAAGCCAGAGTGGGGCACCACCCCGCCCCCCCCCCCCCCCCCCCCCCCCCCCGGCAGGCCCATCATCTATCCCACAGCTTGCTGTCAGCCACCTGTACTTGGCACTGAACTCCCGTCTGGCAGAGGGGCCAGCACAGGATGCAGCAAGTTCAATCCAGACCAAGCCCTACTGGGGGGTGGGCGTGGGGAGACACTGTTTACAGAAGCTCAAAACGAGGACTGAGAGGGGACGGGGTGTGGGGGCAGTTAATCCAGAACGGTCACAGGGCTGCCCAGCTGCCCAAGAGCAGGCACAGGGCCCTGGGGGGGGGGCGAGTTTGGGAGAGGGGAGCCCAGGCCTGGGTACCAGGAAAGAGGAAAGACCTAGATGAGAGTGTTCTATGATTTTGAGAGTACAGATCTGTTGCCTCTGGTTAGGTTTTCTCCTAGGTATCTCGTGGGTTTTGTGCAATTGTAAATGGGATCTAGTCTTTAATGTCTTTCTTCTGTCTCGTTGTTAGTGTACAGAAATGCAACTGATGTGAGCACCGGGGTGGCTCAGTCAGTTGAGTGTCTGCCTTTGGCTCAGGTCATGATCCCGGACACCTGGGATTGAGCCCCACATAGGGCTCCCTGCTCAGTGTGGAGTCTGCCCACAGTCTCTCTCTGTGTGTCTCTCATGAATAAATGAATAAAATCTTAAAAAAAAAAAAACCCAGATGTGGTATATGTATATAGAATGGACTATTAGTCATCAGAAAGAATGGAATCTTGCTGTTTGCAATGCTGTGGTTAGAACTACAGCATATGATGCTAAGTGAAATAAGTCAGAGAAAGACAATTATCTTTAAATTTTATTTATTTTAAAGATTTTATTTATTCATGAGAGACACACAGAGAGAGGAGAGAGAGAGAGAGAGAGAGATGAGAGAGAGAGAGAAGCAGGCTCCATGCAGGGAGCCTGACGTGGGACTGGATCCTGGGTCTCCAGGATCAGACCCTGGGCTGAGGGCAGTGCTAAACCACTGAGCCACTCGGGCTGCCCCGAGAAAGACAATTATAACATTTTACTCATATGTGGAAACCAACAAAGGAGCAAAACAAAGAAGCAGAGGGGAATAGAGAAAGGGAGGGAAAAATAAAACAAGACGAAATCAGAAAGGGAGGCAAACCCTAAGAGACTCCTAACTCTGGAAAACAAACTGAGGGCTGCTGGAGGGGAGGAGGGTGGGGGAACGGGGTCACTGGGTGATGGGCATGAAGGAGGCACGTGGTGTGATCAGCACTGACTGCTCTATACAACTGATGATTCACTGACGTCTACCTCTGAAACCAATAATATGCGATGTTAATTGAATTTAAAATTAAAAAACAAAGTAAAAATAATGAAATCTCAAAGAAAACCCCAAAATTTCATAAATGACTAGAATAATAAATTTGGCCTAGACAAACTTGACCTTCTCTTTTACCTATGGACCCAACCCCCCCCCCCCCCCCCCAGTGCTTTAGATGGATGTATAGTACAGGGTATGACCCACCAGGATGATCAGGGCCCCTCCTGAATAAGCCCCTGGGGATGCAGCCAGAACCAGCAGGGGGCGAGTGTGTAGTACAATGGGGATGAAGCAGACCCCCAAGGCTGGCCTGAGAAGTCCAGGGGTTCACCAGGGTGACCTAGGGGTAGCTGGGCGGTGCAGACTGGGCCAAGGACTGAGGAAAGTCCTCGCCTGCCCTGCTCCAAAAAGCCAGGGTCCAGGCCTTCCTGCTTCTGAGGGACGGGGGCCTAGGCGGGTGGCACTGCCCCAGTGCAGGGAGACCTCTGCCCCCATTTCCACACCAGGGTTGAGCTGTTGTGCGTACATATCCCTCCCTCCAGGCCCCTGGGAATGTCTGCTCTGCAGCCAGGAACACAGCAGCACTTCCAGGAACCCTGGCCAGGGTGGGGGTTGCAGCGGGGGTGTGTGCGTGTATGTGTGTGTGTGTGTGTGGGGTGGACCTCCCCCTCCTCCCAGCCAGGGTGGATGAGAACCCTTGGTGTTTGCTGTGTCACTCCCATAGTGTCCCTCTGACCACACCTTAGTGGTGTGGTCACTTCAGGGTCCAAGGTCTGCCCATGGACTCTGGGTTTTCTCCTCTGGGGAACCCTCTAGCTGAACCTGGGGCAGTGTCCCCTCACCACCCCCTCTCCCCACCCTGCTCTCACTTGCCCCTTGCAGCACAGGCTGCCAGTGATGCTCACGGCCCACTTCGCACCACGGTCCCACTCCTCTGGGTAACCAAAGGGCTTACTTAGGTCTTCTTTCCCACACCCCATGCACACTCCTGCCCTGCAGGCCCCCTTCCCAGGCTTCCTTGACAGCCTCGTTCTGTGCTTTCCCTACAGAACCACAGCCCAACTAGCAGCAGGTCCTCCTTCTGGGATATAGTAGGTAACACAATAGTTCCACCCAGGGCCTTCAAACAGGGAGGCAGAGTGCCTGCTGAGCCATCTGGCATTGGCAAGCAGAGGACCCAAGGCCCAACATAGCAGCTGGACAAAGTGTGGGAAACTCTGCCTTCTGCCCCTGCATTCCAGGCCAAAGCCTGGCAGGAGGCATAAGCAGGTCCCCCAAATAACTTAGTGGGCACATGGCCCAACATCACTTCCTATGAGCCACATCCACATCTGCTCAGGCCTGCACACAGGTGGTCACAGAGCTTGAAGGGGTTTGGGACCGTCCTAAGTTGCTCACAGACCACCATGAGCTTGAACAGGAACCGGACTTGACTCTGCAGAGAAACTGAGGGATCCCGCATGCACCACCAGCATGCCCTCTTTGTGCAACCAAAGAATGCTACCAGAGCCACCCCAAAGCAGTGGAGACCACCCACTGCGGTTTTAAGTTGTCCTGTGTGTCCCCTTAAAGCTCCCTCTCTGGGAAGGCCCCCCAGCAGCCCTCAGAAACCAGGCCCATGCCCAGGAAGGCTCATGTCCCCTTCTGAGCCTCCTCAAGGCCTGGCCATACCTAAGATCCACAGACGTCCGCCATCCCAAGTACCCATTTCCACACCAGATGCCCTGCTCTTTGCGCAGCTTCTCCTGCCTAGAACCCCGCCGCACCAGCAAGGGCTCTGCTTTCTCCTGGGCTGAAGGCCTGCCTGCGCACCAACGCCACACTCTTACAAAACACCCACACGCCACTCCACAGATACACAAAAAGGGTTTTATTTGCCAGTGGGTGGGGGTGGGCAGGACCCTAATCAAATAAGCCGAATCCCATGTCGTCATCTGACTCCTCGGACTCCTCTTTCTTCTCGTCTTTCTTTTCCTCCGCTGTGGAAAAGAAGGGGGCAGTGAGTACAACCCTCACAAAGCCAGACGCCCGTGGAGACCCTGCCTCAGCCTCCACTTACCTGCGGCTGGGGCAGCACCAGCAGCAGGAGCTGCAGACCCTGGGGCGGCAGACACGGCCACAGCCCCACCAGCAGGCACACTGGCCAACTTGCCAATTCCTGTGGGAATCAGGAAGGTGAGACCAGAGAAGTGCTCGGCCTTAGGCCTACCTCAGGGGAGTGATGGCATGGTCTCCCTGATGTGCAGGAGCCCACCACATGGATGCCCCAGCCCTGAGATCCGTATCTGGAAACCCTACCCCAAAGCTAAGTTGGACAAACATGTTCACAATCAGGCAGACACAATCTGGCACTTGGGTCCAGATTCCCGTTTATGGGCTCCCACAGGGCTGTGGGCTAAGGCACCCACCACCACCCACACAGGAACAGAATAACGTCCCATCAGGTCCCATCAGCTCCAGCCTTGTCACCAGGACACCATCCGCCCAGCAAGGATGGCAGGAACCTGCGGTCACCCCTGGCACCCCCAGTCTGCCCCCAACCACTTCACGCAGACTACATGACCAGACTTATTTACAAAACCCGTTCCCAAGATCTCTAAGGTCGCCTCTGCAGGCAGGTGGCCCTGCGGGGTGAAAGCACCAGCATCCCCTGCTGCCTTATGGCCAGGACTGTCCAGAAGCATCCCTGGCACGAGCCACTGCCTGCCCGCTGTCCTGGGTGAGGCTTCTGGAGTGCTCTGGTCCACAAGCGAAACCTGGCGGGCCACGGGAGGACCCGCAGGGATTAGGATGGACCCTGAGAACGCAGCCCCGGCCCACAACCTCACCCTGAGCGATCACGTCCTCGATGTTTTTCCCGTTGAGCTCGCTGATGACCTACAACGACCATAACCGGCAATTACCTGGGGCTCGGCCACGCGCCCCTGCCTCACCTCCCATGCGGCTCCTCCCCGAAAAGACCCGCTATGAGGAGCCCCGGGCGCCCTAAGCTTCCTGGGAAACCCGCCCGATGTCTCGGTGTACGCGCCCCCCCCCCCCCCCGGCGCGGCTGGACACCTGCGGGCTGGACGGAAGGACGTGCCTGAGGAAGCTGCGCCCCTCGGGACACACGACAGGGTCTCAGGGACGCCCCCCCCCCCCCGCAGGCTGGAGTCCGCCTCGCCCCGCAGCCCTCCGGCCGCCGGGGCCGCCCGACACGTATCCGCGGGGCCGGCTACCTTGTTGAGCCGGTCATCGTCCGCCTCGATGCCCACGCTGTCCAGGATCTTCTTGATATCCTTGGCGCTGGGGGAGGTGTTGCCCCCGAGGGCGGCCAGCAGGTAGGAGGCGACGTAGCGCATCCTGACGCGGGAGGAGAGCACGACGGCCTTGCCCCTTGGCCCCGGCCCCCGCCCCGCGTGCTCCCGCCCGGCGCCCCACGCCAAGCCCCGGCCCGCGCCCGCCAGGCCCCGCGGCCCCCCGCGGCCCCCCACGGCTCCCCGCGACCCCGCCGCCCACTCACTCGGCGGCGGAGAAGCCTCACGCGTGCGACCTCGGCGGCGTCAGGGACGGAAAGGAAGGCGCCGGCGCGAGGGGCGGGGGTAATCCGCTACCCAGAAGCCCCCGGGCCCCGCGCGCCGCGCAGCGCTGGCGCCTGCGAGTGACGTCACGCGCGCCCAGGCCGCGGAGACGAGAGCCCTCGTGTTGTGCGGTCCGGCCGCCGCCGCAGGCGGACTCCAAGTCCCAGGGCGCACCGCTGCCGGAAGTGCGGGCACGCGGCCTGCGCGGGGCACGTGGCCGGCCAGCCTCGCTCGCTGCTGCGGGGGTGGGGCGTTGGGCCGCGGTCCGCGCGGGGTGGTCGTTCGTCTGTGGGGCCGCGTGGCCCCGAACTCACCTTCGCGTCCGCGCGGATGTCCGCCCTGTCACGCGCTCACGCTCCGTGCGGGGAGCCTGCAGGTTGCGGCGCTGCGAGGGCGGGGCCCGCCCCTGCTCGTCCGAGCGAGGATGCACGAGAGTAATAACGCTGCACGCGGAAGGGATGCGGCGGCGGCCCGAAGACCTGGGGCGAGCCCGGGTCAGGGGCCAGGGGCAGAGGCCCGCGGTGGCTGGAGAGGGACCAGGAGCAGAGCCGGCCCAGCCCTGGGGGGGGTGCCCTCAGGGTCATCTCCCCATCGTACACAGAGGTGGGGCGCAGGCAGGTCTCCCTGCCGTGGGGTGCCCTCAGGGTCATCACCCCCATCGTACACAGGTGGGGTGCAGGCAGGTCTCCCTGCTGTGTGGGGTGCCCTCAGGGTCATCTCCCCATTTTACACAGAGGTGGGTTGCAGGCAGGTCTCCCTGCTGTGGGGTGCCCTCCGGGTCATCACCCCATCGTACACAGAGGTGGGGTGCAGGCAGGGTCATCACCCCCATCTTACACAGGTGGGGTGCAGGCAGGTCTCCCTGCTGTGTGGGGTGCCCTCAGGGTCATCTCCCCATTTTACACAGAGGTGGGGTGCATGGCAGGTCTCCCTGCTGTGGGGTGCCCTCCGGGTCATCACCCCATCGTACACAGAGGTGGGGTGCAGGCAGGTCTCCCTGCTGTGGGGTGCCCTCAGGGTCATCACCCCCATCGTACACAGGTGGGGTGCAGGCAGGTCTCCCTGCTGTGTGGGGTGCCCTCAGGGTCATCACCCCATTGTACACAGAGGTGGGGTGCAGGCAGGTCTCCCTGCTGTGGGGGTGCCCTCCGGGTCATCACCCCATCGTACACAGAGGTGGGGTGCAGGCAGGTCTCCCTGCTGTGGGGGTGCCCTTGGTGTCATCACCCCATCGTACACAGAGGTGGGCACAGGCAGGTCTCTCTGCTGTGGGGGTGCCCTTGGTGTCATCACCCCATCGTAGACACAGGTGGGTGCAGGTAGGTCTCCTTACTCTTGGGGTGCCCTCGCTGTCATCACCCCCATCATAGACAGAGGTGGGGCACAGGTCTCACTCAAGGCCCCACACTCGGAGTAAAATGGGGACAATCGGGTGGGGCATATTGTGATGTGTGATGTGTGGCGTTGGAGGTGACAGGATATGTCAGGTTTGCCATTCCAGCCACAGGATTCAGTGGCCCTGGGTGTTTTCCCAGTTACACAGCTGTCACCACTCTCTACCCACAGGGGATTTCGTCCTCCCAAGTTGGGAGTCCACACCAGCTCAGCAGTAACTCCCTACTTCCTCCCCCAGCCCCTGGCACCCACCACTTTGGACTCATTTGACTGCTCTGGGATCCCGACTGGATGCAGACGTGGAAGCAGACTATTTACCCTCTCGGACATTCTCGAGGTTCATCCGTATCTTGGTGTATATCAGAATTTCATTCCCTTTTAATGTTGAATAATGGGGCAGCCCAGGTAACTCAGCAGTTTAGCGCTGCCTTCAGCCCAGGGCCTGATCCCAGGGTCCTCGGATCGAGTCCCACATCAGGCTCCCTGCATGGAGCCTGCTTTTCTCTCTGCCTGTGTCTCTGCCTCTCTCTCTCTCATGGGTAAATAAATAAAATATTAAAAAATAAAGTAAAGCTGAATAACGTCCTGTGGTGGTTGTTTAAGTCTCTGGCAGCCTCGCAGAAACAACGGGGGCCAGGAGCCGGGGCAAGTGCAGGCCTGGCGGAACTGCCCTTCCTGGCAGGCGGGCGGCTGGTGGCGTGGGAGCCCCTGATCTGGGGCAGAGCAGGTGAATGAGCACAGGTCTGGTAGGCTCTCCACAGGCAGACCTAGTGTGAGGTTCTCAGCTGTGGCACTTAGTTCCGGTGACCTGGGGCAAGCTCTGATGTCACAGCCTCCTTTTCCTTCCCTGTGAGATGCAAAGATTGAGGCAGAGGAGGCATGGGCTAGCCCCCGGCTGGGGCACCTGGCCAAAGTGCCGCTAAAGCAGGATAGCAGGAGCTGGGCCCCGGCCGCTAGAGGAGCCTCAGGAAGGCTTCCCGGAGAAGGAGGCCCCAGAGGCTGGCCGGGGCCCGGTACCCGTGCTGCTCTGGCTTCTGGCAGGAGGCGGATCTGAGGCCGCAGCTGCGTCTGGGCCCCCCTCCCCCGAGGTTGCACGCGCTCACCTCCCGGCCGCGGAGCGCACAGCTGCAGGGCAGGGCGGGCCCGGGGCCGGGAATCTCCGAGAGGGCGGGCTGGGCGGCGCGACGCGGGCCTCCCGGCGGGAGAGGCCGGCCCGAGGCGGACGAGCAGGAAGCCGAGCACCGCGGGGCCGGCGGCTGGCGGTCGGGGTCCGCGGCCGCGTCTCCTGGGCTGCAGGCTGGACAGGGGCGGGGCGGGGGGTGCGGGCACCCCGAGGCCTCCGCCTGCGCCCCAGCCCGGCGGCGTCCGGCCTGGGCGGGCCCCCGACGCCTGGGCCGCTCCGAGCGCTCCAGCGGGAACCCGGCGTGGGGCGCCCACCCGGGACGGCGCCCAGCCCGGAGCGCAGGTACGCGCAGGGCGAGGGCGGGGGGCGGGGGCGCTCTCCCGGCCAGGACCGGCCCCGTCCGAGCCCCGAGTGCGCGGGCCACTGCTCCTGACCCGCGACCTCGGTGCAGACGGGAAGCGTGGGAGACCCCTCCCCCAGCGTCCCATCCCCAGGACTCCGCGCTGCCCAGTGGCTCACCCCCCCACCCCATTCACTTATCTGACATGTGTGGGCACAATCGCCCCTTTCCTGGCCTGGGCCACTGTCCCCACGTGGTAGAGTCCTCAGCCTCGGGTCAAAGCTGGTGGGTGTGAAGGTTGGCAGTGGGGCTGGACCTCCAGCTCTTGGGGGGGGGGGGACAGAACAGCCAGGATGACACGACAGCTCTAGGGGTCTCCTTCAGATTTCCAGAAGTGGAATGTCAAGCCTCATTTCTCCCTCCTCCCCCCAGTCAGGTTCTCTGGGCTCCTCTGCACACACATCTCGCTCTGGGCTGCCTTCCCAGTCCTGGGGTCCTCCTTCCCCAGCCTTCTTTCAAAAGTGACCTGTCCAGGGGAGGCTCTGGGCTCTGTGCATCAGCTGGTCTGGCTCAGGGGACGACTCCCTCCCCCCTCCCCAGCCAGAGTCCCCATTCCCCTGAACGGAGGAGGGCCCAGCCTCCCTCCCTCTCCCCACTCCTCCCCCTGACTCTGCAGCCTCCCGGGCCCTGTCTGAGCAGGCCTGTTTGGCAGGCTGGGACATGTCTGGCCCCCGAGGACAGCCGGTGGGCGATGGCTGCAGAGGCAGAGGGGCTGGAGCCCCAGGCAGCTGCTACCGAAGATGCTGCAGGAGATGCCACAGAGGCTACGGATGCGGAGCTCCGTCTCCTGGTTGGGAACCGGTTGAGCCTGGACCTGTACCCTGGGGGGTGCCACCGGCTGCTCCATCTCTGTGCCCAGCGACCCCCTCAGCTGCAGGAAGTGGAGTTCTTGCAGCTGAGTGGCCACGAGGACCCTCAGCTGCTAGAGGCTACCCTGACCCAGGTGCCGCGGAGCCTGCAGCGCCTTCGCTCCCTGGTCCTCAGAGGTGAGCCCCACCTGGTCCCAGCCCTGTCCCAACCCTGCCCATGCTGCAGCTGCCCAGTGGTGTCCCCCAGCAGACAGCAGCATGGCTATTCTTTCTGGGGCAGGTCATGGGTGATGGCTGTCAGCCGAGATAAGCCTGTCGTATGCATCCCTGTCTCCCTGCATCGCTGGGGTCTCTGTCCCTCTCTGGGTGGGGTTGGGGTAGAGAGGTCTGTGCCGCTGAGCTGAGCCCTGGGATTCCGGCCCTGAGGGCCACATCTGCTCTCCCCCTTTCTAGGTGGACAACACTGGGATGTGCTGGGTGCCTGCCTCCGGGGCTCTCTGACCACACTGCCCGCTGGCCTGAGTGGCCTGGCCCGCTTGGCCCACCTAGATCTGAGCTTCAACAGCCTGGAGACGCTGCCGGCCTGCATCCCACAGATGCATGGCCTGAGCACCCTCCTGCTCTCTTACAACCACCTCTCAGAGCTCCCTGAGGCCCTCGGAGCCCTCCCCTCCCTTACCTTCCTCTCTGTGACCCATAATCGTTTGCAAACGCTGCCCATAGCACTGGGAGCTCTCTCCACCCTGCAGCGCCTTGATCTCTCAGGGAACCTTCTGGACACTCTGCCCCCTGAGATTGGAGGCCTGAGCAGCCTCACTGAGCTCAATCTGGCTTCCAACCGGCTGCAGGGCCTCCCGACCTCCCTTGGTAAGTAGGGGTCAGGCCCCTTTTGGCTCCTCGGGCCTGATGGAGAGGGCCCTTTGGCCACTGTCTGGCCTCCACTCTCTGTGGGCCCCACCTTGTCCTCCACAGGGGACCCTGCACACACAATCTTGGCCACCTTGGAGCCTTCACTCCTCCAGGTGGCACTCGTTTGCCCTTCCTTCCCTGGATTTCAAGCTCCCCGAGTCTGGCCATGGGGCAGAGACTGGAAAGGCTTCTCTGCTGGGGCCTGCCATGAGTATCCTGTCCTGGCCAGGACTGGGCGTGGCCCTGGGTGGTGGTCCTCTGCCGGCCCTAAGCTGGCACCTGCCCAGCCAGGGCTGGGCATGGCCTTGAGGGTCCTCTGCTGGCCCTAAGCTGGCATCTCCCCACAGTGGGGCTGCGGTCCTTGCGGCTCCTTGTTTTGCACAGCAACCTCCTGACCTCAGTGCCCACTGGCCTGGTACACCTCCCGCTGCTCACTCGGCTGGATCTGAGGGACAACCAGCTCCGGGACGTGCCCCCGGAGCTCCTGGACGCCCCCTTTGTGCGCCTTCAGGGGAACCCCCTGGGCGAGGCTCTACCTGCCCCCCAAAGCCCCCCAGGTAGGCTTGTTCCTGGGAAGGGTCAGACCACAGACAGGCCGGGATGTAGGTACCGTAGGTATACTAACAGCTTGCCTGTCCTTGCACAGGGGCGCCGGTGATCCTGGAAATGCCCAGACTGTTCCTGAACTCAGATGTGGACAGGTGTGTGTGTATGTGTGTGTTGCTGAAAAAGCACGTCTCTACCCTGTCACCCTATCCATAATGTGCACCTCGCTCAGGCTCCAGGGATCTTCTAGAGTTTCCCAGGGGTGCCCGATTCAGCCACACCCCTTTCTATTGTCTGACCTGATGCCCACTCTGTCACACAGCTTCCCTGTGACTCCCCAAGGCTGCTCCGTGACCCTGGCGTGTGGCGTCCGCCTGCAGTTCCCTGCTGGGGCCACTGCTAGCCCTGTCAACATCCAGTATCGTCTCTGGCTGCCAGAGCCACGCCTTGTTCCCTTGGGTCCCCATGACTCCCTGCTCAGTGGTGTCCTGGAGCTGCAGCCCCATGGGGTGGCCTTCCGGCAGGCACGACCAGGGCAAGTCGGGGTGGGGGGCAGGTGAGGAGGGCCCAGATGTGGCCCTGGTATTCACAATGGCCTTGCCTGGCAGAAGGTGAGCCTGTGGCTGCTCTTCGTGCCCCCCCGCATCCGGCGTTGCCGGGAGGTGGTGGTCAGGACCCTGAGTGGTGATAGCTGGGGTGACCTGGACACTCATGTGGAAGAAGAGGCACCCAAGGTGAGAGCTGTCTGGGAAAGGGCACTAGGGAGGAGCTCCGCCTACACCCTGTTCACCCCCACTTTTCCTCTGTCCCTATCCTCTCCGATTCTGTCTCCTCTGACCTCACCTCCCATGCCCAGCGGCTTTGGGCTCACTGCCAGGTGCCCCACTTCTCATGGTTCCTCGTGGTTTCGCGTCCTGTGTCCGACACCTGCCTGGTGCCACCAGAAGGGACGTTGCTGTGCTGCTCAGGATATCCCGGGGTCAAGGTCACATTCCCACCTGGGGCCACTGAAGAGCCTCGTAGTGTCTGCATGCAGGTGCGGACAGGGCAGCCTCTGTGGATGGTGGGTGGTTTCTCAACACATAGGCAAGCCTGGGGTCCCTGTTTGCCCCAGGTGGTGCGCATGGCCAGCAGAGAACTTCGAGCCCTGCTGGGGGAGCCTGAGGCTGCGGCCAGCCCCCTGCTGTGCCTCTCACAGAGTGGTGGCCCTCCTAGCTTCCTCCAGCCTGTCACTGTGCAGCTGCCTTTGCCCCCTGGGGTCACAGGTAAGAGGTGGCCCTTCCTTGGGCCCAGCTGAATCTATGACCCCTGGGTTGAGGGGGTCATGTTCGGGGTGGGGGAGCCCCTGCCAGGGACGCCTCAGCCGGTGGTTCCCTCGCGTCCTCAGGCCTGAGTCTGGATCGCTCTTGTCTTCACCTGCTGTACCGGACCCCTCTTGAAGCTGCTTGGGATGACATCACAGCTCAGGTGGCCCTGGAGCTCACCCACCTGTATGCTCGCTTCCAGGTCACCCACTTCTCTTGGTCGGTGCCCCCAGCCCCAGCATCTTCAGCCCTTCCCCCTCCCCTCCCCCCAGCCTGTCTGTGCAGCCCTGCTCACCCCTGAGCCCAACCAGGTACTGGCTCTGGTACACCACCAAGACCTGTGTGCAAGACCTGGCTCGGAAGGCCTGGGAGCGGCTGCGTCTGCACCGAGTCAACCTCATTGCCCTGCAGAGGCGCCGGGACCCAGAGCAGGTCCTGCTGCAATGCCTGCCCCGCGACAAGGTAGGTGTGGGGCCCAGAGGGCTGCAAGGGCCTGCGTGGGGGTGTGGGGCGCTGAGCTCAGAGCCAGTGGGTGCCCCCCTAGGTGGATGCCACCCTGCGGCGACTGCTGGACCGTTACCGAGGCCCTGAGCCCTCTGACACGGTGGAGATGTTTGAGGGTGAAAAATTCTTCGCCGCTTTTGAGAAGGGTATTGATGTGGATGCTGGTACGCCGCCCTGCCTGCCCTATGGAGGGGATGCTGGGGTCCATTCTCCAGGCTCCCTGCTGAGCCCATCCCTTCCATGTAGAACGCCCAGACTGCGTGGAAGGCAGGGTCTGCTTTGTCTTCTACTCACACTTGAAGAACGTGAAGGAGGTCTACGTGACCACTACCCTGGACCGGCAGGTTCAGGCTGTGAGGGGCCAGGTGGGTCAGCCAGGTGGGGTGCCTCTGGCTGCTTGGACAAAGTTCAGAACACTGAACCTCATCTTATCCCAATGCTAGGTGTCCTTCTACCGGGGAGCAGTGCCTGAGGAGGTGCCTGAGGAGGCCAAGGCTGCCCGGCAGAGGAAGGGCATGGACACCATGTGGATGGCCACTCTACCCATCAAGCTGCCGGTGTGGCCTGGGGTGGTGGGCACTGTGTATGAAGGGGGCAGGGGCGGCACCGAAGCCTGGGGGTGGTCAGGGGCAGAAGGCAGGGCTCATTGCACCCCTTCTTTTTCACAGAGATTGCGGGGGTCTGAGGGGCTGGGGCAGGGGCGGGGGCCTAGCCTCTCTCTGGCACCTCTGAACCTGGGCGATGCTGAGACTGGCTTCCTGACCCAGAGCAACCTGCTGACCGTGGCTGGGCGCCTGGGCCCTGACTGGCCAGCTGTGGCCCTGCACCTGGGCCTGCCCTACCGGGAGCTGCAGCGCATCCGTCATGAGTTCCGGTGAGTTCCTCTAGGCCTTCTGATGCTGGCTCCAGACCAGCCTCAGCCCTGGGTCCTGGCCGTCTGGAGAGCCTCACAAGAGGCTGGCTGAAGTTCCATTCAGGGTGGATGAGGACAGGGCAAACAGGCTCACCCCACCCAGGGAGCTGGAATCTACTCTGGGTGAGTGAGCAGAACCTTGGGTGGGTGGCTGGGCCTCTCTATGACCATCCTCCTCCCCACTAGGGATGACCTGGATGGCCAGATCCGTCATATGCTCTTCTCCTGGGCTGAGCGCCAGGCTGGGCAACCAGGGGCTGTGGGGCTTCTCCTGCGGGCCTTGGAGCAGAGTGACCGGCTGGATGTAGCTGAGGAGGTGAGGGCCATCCTGGAGCTTGGCCGCCAGAAGTACAAGGACAGCATCCAGCGCACAAGCCTGGCCCCCAGGGGCCTTGACCCAGCTGACCCTGCAGCACCACAGTCTGTGGAGTCTGCCCAGGCGTAGACCCCCACTGACTTTGGGATGGCCCCTGATGGACCCTGCCAAAGGGTCAGGGGTCCCCAGTTTCAAGCCTTCCCTGAATATGCGGACAGTGACCTCCTACGTGTAACAAATATGTACTGTTGTGGCTGCTTCTCGGAGCTCAGTTTATTTGTTGGGTAGAAGAGCGGGTGGAAGGCCAGGGGTGGGCTGAGATCAGAGGCCCGGGCCCTGCTGGGAGGGGACCTTGTGTAAAGACTTCAGTACCCCCGCCCCCCGTTGCTCCCGCTTCCTCCCATGTGCCCAGAAGGGAGAGAGGCTCCAGCTACAAAGTACCGGTGCAGCACCGACGACGGATACAAAGTCCCCTGCGTGCGGGGCTTCGCATCGCTGGCTGCGGCGGGCAGGTGCGCGCTGTGCAGCGGTCTCGCCTCCGCGTCTGCCTTCTGCTGCGCCCCCCACCCCCACAGTGCACAGTGTCCCCGCGGAGCTGGGGCCGAGTCCCCGAGGCGGAGGCCAGGCCGCGGGGGGCGCACACGTGGGACCCCGCCGGACCTGTGTGGACCTGCGTGTGGCTGGAGTAGCCATCGCCTGGGGCAGCGTGACGGTCTGGGCCCCGTCCGGACCCCCTTCCAGGGGGACGAGGGGCGGAGCCGGAGCCTCCAGCCCCCACCCCAAGCCTCCTTTGTCCACGGGTTGGGGCACCTCGAACAGGATGGAAACCCCCCTGCCCCAAGGGGAAGGGACGCGGGGAGATTGAATGAGGAACTCGGGGCCAGGGCCAGGCTCTGAGCCTATCCTCCATCCCTTCCGTGGGGGTGGGGGAGGGGGAGCGCAGCGACTTCGTTTGTGCGAGATTTTACCCCTGGGAGGGTCTGCAAGTGGGGGCAGCAAGCAGCCCGTGGGGGATCTCTGTGGGCAGCGGTGACCATAGCCCGCCTTGGTCCTTAATTTACCTGGCTGCAGGGGTGGAGGCGGGGGACAGTGAGGGTTGACAGCCCTGGGCCTCAGGCTTGCAGGGGGGGGGGGTGGGTTTCTGTGGCAACAGAGACTTCGTTGGGGGTGGCCCTTCCACAGTTGTCTCCCAAGTGGGGGGGTGGGAACCACAGAGTGAGGACAGACAAATGGGAGGTTCTGGGGCCAGTAGACCCCTTGCCAGTCTCCCCAGGCAGAGCTCCTTCGTTGTCACTGCTGTCAGGCCAGCCACCCTCTTCCCTGCTCCTCCTGCAGCCTGAGCCATATCATGGGAGACCCCAGGACTCCCTGTGTCCTCAGGGTTGGACCCCTGGGCCCGCCTTCTCCTCCCATGACAGCTGTCTTCCCTCACCCATCCAGAATGGATTGACAGTTACTTATCACTTACTGCTCCAGGCTGCGGACAGCTCATAGATATTTCGCTAACAAGTTGAAGGCATTGGGGATCCCTTTTCTCAACCATGGCTCTGGCCTCTATGTCTGGATCAACCTGAAAGTGGTGAGCACTGGGAAGGAGGCCCTGAATTTTGGGGCAGACCTGCCCGATGGGTTTTTGGCTCAGCTCTGTCCTTCAGCCTTCCTCAGTGCCTGGATCCATGCATGTTTGAGGAAGAACTGCTGCTCCATTGCTGCTTCCTGGACAACAAGCTAATGCTGTCCTGGGGCAAGACCTGCATGTGTAAGGAGCCTGGCTAGTTCCATATCCAAGGCAGACGCTTAACCACTGAGTCAGCCAGGGATCCCAAGATTTTCTTTATTTGAGAGAGAGGGAGAGAGAGGGAGAGCACAAGCAGGGGAGGGACAGAGGGAGAGGGAGAAGCAGACTCCCTGGTGAGCAGGAAGCCTGACATGGGGCTCGATCCCCAGACCCCAGACCATGACCTGAGCTGAAGGTAGATGCTTAACCAAACTGAGCCACCTAGGCACCCCTCAAAAGGCTTTTTTTTTTTTTTTAGGTTTTATTTATTTATTCATGAGAGACCAGAGAGAGAGAGAGGCAGACACGGAGGGAGAAGCAGGCTCCATGCAGGAAGCCGGATGTGGGATTTGATCCGGGGACTCTGGGATCATGGCCTGAACCAAAGGCAGATGCTCAATCTCTGAGCCACCCAGGCATCCCTCAAAAGGCTTTTTATTTTTTTTTAATTTTTAAAAAAATTTTTATTTACTTATGATAGTCACACACAGAGAGAGAGAGGCAGAGACACAGGCAGAGGGAGAAGCAGGCTCCATGCACCGGGAGCCCGATGTGGGATTCGATTCCGGGTCTCCAGGATCGCGCCCTAGGCCAAAGGCAGGCGCCAAACCGCTGCGCCACCCAGGGATCCCCCTCAAAAGGCTTTTTAAGATGAATATCTAGTGATAAGCCTGGGGTCTTCCATTTTCATCTCTAGTGTTTGCAGCTATTCGAATCACACCACCTATGAGTTTCTCTGAAAAGCTCTTGCACTTTAGTTGGAAGACTGATGCTATGACATGGGCCCAGCACAGACTACTACATTTTATAGATGACAGAAGAGTTTTTAGCACCAACTGATGGGTTTGGTCAGTCACTTGGCTTTGTGGCCATCTCTCTGGGGTCCAGATTTGGTAGTCCTTGTTCTTCAATGAAAATCTTTTTTCTGGGGATTCCTGGGTGGCGCAGCGGTTTGGCGCCTGCCTTTGGCCCAGGGCGCGATCCTGGAGACCCGGGATCGAGTCCCACGTCGGGCTTCCGGTGCATGGAGCCTGCTTCTCCCTCTGCCTGTGTCTCTGCCTCTCTCTCTCTCTGTGACTATCATAAATAAATAAAAATTAAAAAAAAATCTTTTTTCTTTTTTTAATCATAATTAAAAAAAAATACTCCAGCAAATGCTGATTCTTTGTTGTTGTTGTTTTTATACCAATGTTCTTTAGAAATTGACTAATGGGTTAATAGACACAGAGAAGGAATTCATTGGATGAATGAAGGAGCTCACCAGGCCAGAGAAGATGAAGATGTGAAAGATGAGAAGCAGAGGTGCTCTTGGGATTTCTGTAATGGGGGCTATAGACAGTCTCACCAGGACACTGTCCTAGGTTAAAAGGGATAGTGCCTTTCATGGAAGGGATAGACAATTTTATCTTCCATCCCACCCAAGATTTGAATGGTTGAGTGGAGAAAACTTAGTATCTCCCTATCCATGAACATGGAACTTCCTTCCATTTATTTAGGTCTTTAATTTCCCTCAGCAAGATCTTTGTGGCTTTCAGAGCACACATTTTGTCCTACACACCTCTTGTTAGGTTTATCACTATACTGTGCTTTTCATATTCTGCTAAAGATGTTGTTAACTTCATTTTGTTTGTTGCTAGTATGAAACTGATTTTTGTATCTATCAAGAGCTTTGAGGGCTCTGAGATTTTTACCCTACTTACAAGTGAACAGGTTTCATGTATGCTGGCAGAAGGCATAAGAACTCTGGGTCAGAGATAAAAGACAGCTTATTACAGCAGTAGCAAGGACCAGAGTATCAGTTCATGGTTCCCCAAGCCCTGGTTCCTACAGGGCAAAGCGAGGAGTATCCGCTGATGCCTGCACATGCAGTAAGGGGTTCCGCAGAAGAGGAAACCCAAGCTTAATGGAACAGGATTCTCCCCCCCCTTTTTTTTAGATTTTATTTCTTTGAGAAAGAAAGGGAGATAGAGCATGAGCAGGTGGGAGGAGCAGAGGGAAAGGGAGAATCAGGCTCCCTGCTTAGCAGAGAGACTAACATCAGGCTCCATCCCAGGACCCTGAGATCATGACCTGAGCCAAAGGCAGACACTTAACTGACTGAGCCACCCAGGCACCTCAAGAAACAGGATTCTTTTATGATGAGCAGTAAGCCTGCCTGAACTTTGGTCCCAAAGGAGACATTATCTTTTTTATATTGAGTAATAAATCTATCCTTTGCTCTAGTGGGAGATACTATTGCTGTCATCCAATGCTGTTCACTCTACACATCTGTGGATATATGTGTGTATGTATATGTGTGTCTATCTCCTTGAAGATAGCCTAGAACTAAGACAGGCAGAAACATGAGAGACCTAGGAAGAATCCTCTCCTGACAGTATCCTGTGACCTTGTTAAACTTATTAGCCCTTAGCCCCATGGCAAGGGGGTGGGTGGGTGGGATTTCTTTGAATTTTCAATGTATATAATCATATTGACTGTGGCTAAAGATGATTTTCCTTCTTCCTTTTGAATATTTCTAATTTTTCTGTTCTAATTACCTTGCCTAGGACCTCCAGTACAGTGTTAAATGAATGCAGTGAGGAAGGACATTCTTGTTCTCAATCTTAGCAGAACTGAGGTCACTCTCACTCTTTTTTTTTTTAAGAGAGAGAACAGTGGGAAGGGGGAACCAGAGGAAGAAGGAAAGAGAGAATCTTCAGCATCCCCAGTGAGTAGTTGATCTCCTAACCCTGAGATCATGACCTGAGCTGAACTGAGTCAGATGCCTGAGCCACCCAGTGCCTCTTACTCTTAAGTAAAATGTAATTGTAAATATTTTTCATGCTGCCCTTCACCAGATAAGAGTTCCTTCAATTCCTAGTTTTCTGAGAGTTTTTCCATGAATGAGGGTTCCCTCTTTGTCATAGATATTTATCTATACCTCTAAAGAAGGTATAATTCTTTTAATAATTTAAAAAAATTATTAATGTGATAAATTCCATTGGATTTTTAAAATGTTAAGTCCTATTCCTGCAATAAAATGCATGTAGTCATGATGTATCCCCCTTGTATATATCATTGGATTTCATTTGGTATTAAGAATTTTACATTGGGGGGCACCTGGTGGCTTCGTCGGTTAAGCATCTGCCTTCAGCTTAGGTCATGGGATCAAGCCTCACCTGGGACTCCCTGCTCAGTGGAGAGAGCCTGCTTCTCCCTCTCCCCCTGCTTGTGATTGCTCTCTCCCTCTCCCTCTCTCTCTCTGTGTCAAATAAATAAATAACATGAAAAAAAGAATTTTACATTGCACAGTGGGTCCCCCTCCCAAAAGAATTTTACCTCTATTTTCATGAAGACTATTATGCTATAATTTTCTTATTTAGTAATGCATTGTTGGTTTTCTTATCAGAGTAAAATTGACCTCATAAATAGTTTGGAAATTCTCTTTCCTCAATTTTCTGAAAGTTTGTGTCAAGCTAATTTTTTAAAAAATCTTCAACTGT